GACCTGTGCTTGTGTGATTCTAAGGAGATGCTTTTTCCAAGGCATCACAATCTTTCTCCTGGAGTGAAAAAGTGTCTGTTGCTGAAGTATGCTGTATGCTGCCTTGTACGTTGTCAATGCTGTTATCAATAACAATGTCTCACTCATATTCAGGGTTTTAAAATGTACAATGCATTTTTCCGAGTAGGGAAAATACCCAGTCAACATGTAGTCTGCAGATGACTAATAGAGGCAGGAAGCAGAAGGAGCAGTGGCTTTGAAAGAGAAGTCTATTACTGATGCAAATGGGAAGTTATCTGCACTTGTGAGGAGCATAATAAACATTAAAACCAATTAGGAGTAACAATGTGTGATAGATTCAGGCTTCAGGAACTTGGAACTTGGCATGGAGTTGGAAAACCAACAGAATATAGCAAGGGGAGTTTAGGGGCAAGGATTTAACTTACTTGTTGTTTTAACAGTTCAAATGGTTCAGACGACTTTTCTGTTTTGCCCCCAGGAAGCTTACTATTTGCATGTGGGTGGATTTTCACATACAGACTAGAACATAGCCAATGATTTAGATTACATAATCTTAAAGCCAGGAGAGCTTCACAATTTAGAGGCAAAGCATATGGAGCTGAAAAAAAGTGAGGCAAGTAAGTTCTCAGAAGTCAACATTAACAGGGTGTCTCAATATAACAAATGTGCCTTACTGAATGCAAAACTTTTCTTAATAAAAACTGCCATCTTGCCTTTCTTATAGCCTTCTGAACCATCGCTTTGTATGTGAGAATGTTACATTTGAACAAAGCTCAAAGGGGAATTTATAGAAATGGAGAAAAATTAAGGGTGTATTTTCAATAAAGCATATTCTGCTTTTAGTTCTCTATAGCAAGGAGATAAAGGAATATCCCTTTTCCTGTTAGAAAGAAAACAGTCCTTTAAAAAAATTTTTTTTTTATTGTATTATTTTTACGTGTACCGTCAAATCAGATCTGACTGGTACAGGAGATTGCTCCCTCCTTCTCCAGCAGAGCATCTGGTGGATTTGAACCACATACCTCTGGGATTACAGTGCAGTGTCTTGCCACTAGGCCACCAGAGCTCCCTTAGAAAACAGTCCTTTTGAATTACAGCTTCCTCAGATGACTTTTAAAATATCAAACTCTGATCCTAGCTTTTTGGATATGATGGAGAAATTAAGAGTTTTGTCAGTTTTCAAATATTTTAAATTAACTTCCAAGCAAATACGTTTGAAACACTTCCTAGTTTCTTAATTTCTTTAGGCAAATTTACACATGAGGTCTTTCCCTTTTCTTTTACTGCCAATACCTGTATTTTCCGCTTTAGGTAAGTAAGACTGAAAGAGACTCTAGAATACACTGGTGGAAATGGCCTTACTGTGCAGGCGCGTGGTATAGGAAGTCTACACTGGATGGGGACCAAAAGAGCCCAGTTTGTGTCTCACAGTCCAAATTTGGTTGATGTATTTTTGAAGTTTCTAAAGGTTAACTCTCATGCTGTAATACATTACAGAACTACAAGAAGCTGATTTTTACCGTGCCAGTCAAGAGACTGGCTTGAATCTGCTATTTAGGACTAAGAGAGACAGTACAATTTACATGTGTGAGAATGTGAGAATAATTTTACCTTCTGTTGTTTTTAAAACTACCTTGGGCCATGATTTTTAAATTGAGGCACAAGAAGATGTCTGAGGTTACCATAGCAACATTAACTTATCTAAACTGCCCTTGTTGTATATAATCTTTTTTATTACCAGTTTGACTTTTAAATGTATACTTTAATTATGAACTGTAACTGAATTAAGAGTCTTAAAATTTTTCATTTTTACATTTACTGATTTATGCATGTTTAAACAGAAATCTTGATTTATTTCTGAGGACTTGCCACCAAGCCTACTTATTACAAAATCCTTTATGTGGTCTCTCTTACCACATAAATGGATCCCCATTCCATTCTATGATACCTCCAAATTAGTCTCATGAACATTTACAACTTAGCATAGTAGGTCAGAATAGAAATAAAAAACCTGCTCATATAGCTTTAGTTAAGAACTAGAACCTAATGACTTAGTTGCTATTCAAAGGTGTCTATAAGTTGACTCCCCCAAGTTCTCAGGAATGCCTTACTCTAGACAATTTCATCATTTCACCATATTCTGAGAAGGCATATCCAAAGACCATGCCTTAGGTTAGGTTCTCCAGAGAAGCAAAGTCAGTGCAGCTTTGTTTAATAATTTATTTCCAGGAAATGGCTTACAGGCTTGTAGAGGCTGGTGAGTACCAAGTCTGTGGGTTAGAGAGAGGGTTTTTCCCCTCTTCACTGCACACCACTCCTGGGGTGACTTCCCCTATACTGGATTTGGCTATGATCAGAGTGTTGTATCCTATCCTAAAACTCTTAGATCAGGGCTAATTATATCAGACCACATCATGGGGAATAACGACATCATTATAAGACTGTGTCTATTCTTATTTCATTTATACCACAGAGGTTAGAATTTATATCACACAGGCAATTTACATTATCCTAAAAATATCAAAATCCACGGACAAGTTGATAACCACCACAGACCAGAAGCCTGGTTCTTTTCCATTCCTTTTCCTAAATTAGCTATGCCTATCTTTTGAATTACTATTATTACAGATATGTGCCACTAAACACTCTGAGTAAAGATTTACTGTGATATGCAAAGGGCTGCCACGAGTTGGAATTTATTTGATGGTAACTAGTTTATTAGTATCATAGGGACAATGGCAACATTGGTGTCATTATAATTTTCAAGCTGTGACTAGATACCATCTTTCCACTAGTTTTTTTTTTTAATAACAATATCTTGATTTGCCTTTGGATAAATTTTCTCCATTCTATACTTTGTAGTGGCACTATTTTATGTAAGCTGCCCGGTCCTAGCCTATCAAGACATGAAGACACAACCCAACTTTAACCAATCACATTATTTGAGGAAATTTACGTGAATTTTAAAAAAAGGAAAGTAGTTGGGTTGAAAACAGTCCAGTGGTGGTCCTTGTAAGAGATAACCCACTTGTGACTGATTTGTAACCAATGTATACTCTTTTGTTTGTAAGATATCAATAATTACTTATACATTATTTTAGATTATGATTTAAAGGTGTGGGATATGGATGTTTTGCTTTGCCACGTAGGCCTTATACATGCTTCCTGAAGACAGAGCCTAGTTCACCATCATATTACACATAACTCAGCTAATATAAGTGCTAAGTAAATATTTATGCAACAAATGAGGAAAGTCTATTTTTATGCAGTATAATTTTACAAGTTAACATATCTTTTTTGAGGTAATAAAGAAATTTTTCTTTAGTTTAAGCAATTTCTTGAGTCTGATAGTGGTCTTAAAGAGAGTTTGAAGCAACTCAGACATCTATGAATAGCCTGATGATATTATTAGCATGGATCACACTTCCTCAATTTTAGGAAAGGAAAGAGAAAACGAAAATTCTATTTCAGACATTCATATCTGAATTAAAACAAAAAAGAACTTGTGGGAATACAGACAAAACAACAAACAAAAATCAACATACCTTGATACTGAGTTTGTTGAGATTTTCCCTGGAAACAAGGCATAATGCCTCTCTGATATCAGATGACAATGGGTGACAGTTTGGCTGTGTTTGTGAACTGACAGAAGTCTAATGTATATACAAAGCAGTTAACTTTTTTTTCACTTTCAAAAAATGACAAGACTTTTCAAAATTATCTAATAGATCAATAATTTAATTGAATGATTAAAAATTAAAACAAAATGGCTAGACACAATAAACACAAAAAAGTCTGTGTTCTGAAAATACAGACTACCATACATTCCTCCAATCACATAACATGTACTTAAAATGCACAGAAGAATTCACCCATGATAAAATAGTTAGAGACACAAATTATCTTCTTCTGTCTTTTGAGAAATGAAAGCTCTGCAGAAATCTTTGAGCACTGCAGTCCTCTGGGTTTTTGTGTTAACATGGTATATAGTTCAGTCATCAGAAAGGAGTGAAAGAAACAAACTGGAGTTGTTTTGAGTCACATGAAAGGGTTTCTGGAATTTGCCTTGAACCCACACTCGGTGCATTTTCACTTGTTTTTTCCTATTAACTTGTAAGCGACGATCAACCAGATTTTGCTTCTCGTCTAGCCCAGCCTTACAGAACAGGCTGTGGACTTCCCCTGTGAGATAAAAATGGCCTTCAGATATAGGACATGTGACTGGAGATGAGGGAGGAGGCTAAGAGTTAATGAAAAACTGATAGAAGGACTGGACATTTACATTTTATTTTTATCTAGAAACATTCTGTAGTACAACTTGGTAAAGGACACCTTGAGAAAACACTGGGTTTCTCACACTCCAAAAAAACACACCAAGTGTAAACAGGTTAACTCAGTAGGCATAAACAGACATACAAGTTATATTTGAACAGTACGTCCTTTCTGAATTTTTCTTGATTTAACTAACTCTGTGACAGTTAAACACAGATTTCACTCACTCACTCACTCACTCACTCACTCATTATTGTTGAGTAGGAATCAGCTCACAGCTGATCCTCTAGTAGGTTTTCAGAAGCTTTAAACTACTGGTGGATTTGAATCTCCTATCCTTGGGTTGGTAGTGTAACACCTTACCCGCTAGGCAACTAGAGCTCCCTGTTCTTGATCTAGAGAGACCCCAAATAGTGCATCATGTATTCACATAAATTTGGAGATAGTCTTGAAAATGGGACAGATTATATCTTCACTTGGGTTATAAAGGTGAAACAAGTGACTCCTAAAACAGTTACAACTAGAAAAAATTGAAAGGGTGATTTTCAAGCTTTTATCTAGAATATTTACAGGTACTGAACTGTGAAAACATGTGATTCTTAATCAACCACTGAAGTCTCCTGCTCACAGTTTTTAATTTTTTTTCTTGCAAATAGTAACCATAGAAAGACTTAATAGTTAGCTACTTCCTCTTGTAGGTAAGCATACCTTTTGTGAAGAAATATGCTCTGGTACCATCTCCTCGTACATAAAAATTTTCAGATAAACAAGACCCTACATAAGAAAGAACAGTGAAAAGAGAAAGTTAGCATTCTTTGAAATGAAATATAAGGATGACATTCTTTAAAACACATGGAAATAACAAATGGAAAAGTAAATATTACCTTTTTTAAAGCGAAGCTGAGTCTTATCATATCTTCCATAGTCCCGAAATAACAACATTCCTCCAGGTTTCAGCAACTTGGATAATCGGTTTACAACACTTTGCATCCTTTAAGAAGAAAACAAGTGAACTCTTTGGAAATTTTATCTTATATAATAAAGTTAACTTTCTTGAAGATAAAATAAGAACTTGATAAAGCTTGATTAAAACTACAAACCACAAGCATAAAGGCAACAAAAGTAAAAGTGCAGAAGGAAAAAAGAATACCAACTTGCTAACTGACCAAAATGAAAGCTGAGGCTATCAAGAAATCCCCCATATGACCAAGGTGGTAATGTACATGGTAGATGGATGGCATAAAAACTGCTAAGTCTCAGAAAGTGCCCTGATATTTACATTCAAGGATGGTCATTCTAAGGCAGATAAGAATGGAAGATATTTTCTTTCCCTTACAAGATAAGAAAAATATAACAGTCATATCAAATTGTATATAATTAAATACTGCTGTTGCTTTGTATCCTTGAGCTGGAATTAACCCAAAGCTGATCCTACAGCAGGTTTTCATAGACAGTAAATGGCATGGGAGGAGACTGCCCATCCATTTCCCACAGAGAAGCTGGTGGATTTGAACCATGTTCCTTTGGGTTGGCTCCTCCGTCTGACTTCTTCACTTAGGTCAAAGGATCTATAAATCACTAATGTATAACCCAGGAGAAATATTTTTGCCCTTTCTTCCATTTTTATGTATTTATTTTTTTTACATTGTGCATCACTCATTGTGCTGCTCCTTTTTTTTTCTTCTTGACTTCACTATCCTCTTCACCTTATCCAACATCAACCAGATAACCATTTAGTTTACTCAACTCATGGCAAGTGCATATTTATCAGAATGGAACTACATTCTATTGGGCTCTCAGTGGCTGATTTTTCAGTGGTAGGTCTCCAAATCTTTCTTCTAAGTGGACTTCTGAGTGGATCTGAACCTCCAACGTTTTGGATAAATTCAGCTGAGCTCATTAATCACTGGCACCACTTGGGGACTTAAGCCATCACATTCTTTTTTTGTTGTGACATCTTTGACATTTGATCTCTCTTATGTTTCCTTTTGATATTCCCCCAGAGCAAAACACTATTTCCTCAGGGCAGGAAATGGAAAATCCTCACTCTCCTCCTCATGAATTCTTTCTGCATAGTCCTCAACAAATGATCCTACTATAATCAACACCCACTGAAGCACTAGTCAAGCAATCAATCAAATGATATATTGTATTGAGCAAATCTGCTACAAAAGACCTCTTTAAAGTATTATAAAAACCAAGATGTCAGGCACACTTGATTTAAGCCATGGCATTTCAGTCACCTCACATGCATGTGAAAAGTCAGGCAGTTAATAAATACACTGAAGAAAATGGGCACCTTTGAATCATGGTATTAGCGAAGACCACTAAATCGGCAACCGGCAGAGTGAACATATCTGTCTGGTAAGGCTTTATCTCACATACTTTGGATATATTATCAGGAAAAGGACCTCACTTGTGGTATAGTGGAGAGTCAGTGAAAAGAGGAAGATCCTTCTACAAAATGGACTGATATCATAGCTGTGATAATAAACATGAGAATGAGAATGGTGCAGTACTAGGATTGTTATGAGACAACAACAAACACCAACAACATTTGGTTTAAAATGGTGATTGATTTGGTCAAATCATTCCCTTGATAAAATTTTTTTTATTATTTTAATTCATAGGATAAAATATTAACTTCTTTGTTGAATCCTTAAAATATGTAAGTACTGACCCCAATTAATCTTCCCAACATTTCCCTACAGCTCATCAATCTAAAGCATTTGTTCTAGCCAAAGTGTTCTATGTTCATCTCTGAACAGCCATCAATGCCTTTGCTGATACAGCTACTCAAAGAATTCTCTTATGTGCATTCTTGGCCTATTTAAATTCTGCTCATACACCAAGGGCCAGCTCTCAATACTTGGAAAGCCTTTACTTCTTTTCTCTGTATTCTTGTAACATTTATTATTCTTATAACATTCTACTCTACCAGCTCTCAATTAAACATAACCTCTGGTAACTGTCCTTGATTTGTGCTTATAGTTAAAGGTTCCTATGATACTGGGCCTGATAGGCCAACGCTTTCAGATCTCTTAACAATGCTGAGTGACTGGCAGTGACTTCATGTAGAACTCTACTGAGGAAGACTCTGAAGTCTCAGTGGGAATGAGAGAATATAAAGTTGAGTGTTGATGGCTGCCATGGGCACATGACGGTAAACAGCAGCCTGTGCACTGAATCTTTGCCATTCTGCTTTATCCAAGCCAGTTAGTCTCAGGTTTTCTTCTTTTAAAAAGGATGGGTTTGAATCACGTAATCTATAAACACCTATAAATGAAAACATTGTTCAGTGGAAGAGTGAGGGGGGAAGCCATGATGTCATGTTATGAGGGAACAGTAGTAAGAAATTAAAGCAACTATGAGAACAAGAGAGAAATATAACAGAAAGAGGTAACATGATTAGGTTGAAAAGCTCTCTCAAAAAAAAAAAATCCATGTGAGAACTAAAAAGAAAAGTGCTTTTTACCTTGTTTACTTTATTACAAATTAGTCATAACTATTGTTTTTCTCTTGTCTGAAGCAAAGGAGAACGATGGAAACCAAAGATCCAAGGAAATAATTGGCTAAAAGCAAAAATGAGAAAAGAAGGAGGGACCAGGAAATGGGACAGAAGGGAGTGGAATGATGAGAGTGCTGACACTGCAGGGGCTATTATCGATGTCATGAACAACCTGTGTATAAACTATTGAATGGTGATCTAATTTCCTCTGTAAACTTAAACCAGAAATACAATAAAGTATTCAGAGAAAGGTGGCTACTGGGGCGATACATCTGCATTTACTTTATAATAAATAAACAGAATGAGCACACTGTATTCTGAAAGGAGTCTTCCAGAGACACCTGCTTCCTCTTTTCGCTAACATTCAATTCAAATCATGAGAAAATGCACTATCTAAACTAATTTCAAATAATGCTTTTGTGGTTTTATTTAGAATGTAAATATTTCCTGTTATGAGTGGCAAGTAGGAAATCTTGCTCTCTAACCACCTACTTCATCTTTTTAAATATTCATAAAAGGAAACAAAATATATAGGTGCTATCTTTCTATTAGCACTAAAACAATACTAATAGTCTAAATAGATTAATCCAACAAAATAGGTTATGGAAACTGAGAGGAAAAGGCAGCTTCACGGAGCCTGATGTATCTCACCAGGTACAAATACCAGTTTCTATAGTCTATTTGAAAATCTAATTTGACTTTCCACATGTAATCAAAGTATTCATCTCTGAATGAGAATTGAAAGGGCTATAAAGAGTCCTGATGACCCAGTAATCTTGTAATTACAAAGAAAAAAAAACCACATGGTAACTCAGTTTCTTTGGGAAAGGGTAAAAATAACCAAACATGCCTTATCTCCTTACCTCCTTTCAAGAAGGAAGGTCCTTTGGAGATGTAACTTTCTAATAAATCTAGCATTAGTATTTACTCTGAAAAGAAAAAAAAATTTAAAATGTCCTACCAATGACATTAGTCAAATCTGTGTCTACTACCTAGGAATCATAAAATTCCAATTTTATAACTCTTACAAAGAAGCACAACCTCTGAAGTTATACCATATGTGCCTTGATACATACAAGATGATAAGAAATTAAGAAAAGTGATCACTGTAATTGCTGGTGATACATGTTTATGCTTCCCTGTTGGCAGGGGGTGGGGGGAACCTGTGCTTTTTCCAGTTTTAGATCACTATAAGAATGTGAACATTTAAATCATCAATATTTAAGTGATGGCACTAAGCCAACTGTAGACCGTAAAGGTTAAAAATCAATCTGACAAATTTCAATAAACCTTAATTCCTTTGTGGGCTTTGGAAAAAACCAAAAACCTCCTAAAAAACAAGAAGACTTTTAAAGCCCATCAATTGACCTGGATGAAGCCAACCAGATCTACAGTCTAGTTCTTCATGAACACTCACTAAGATGCTAAATCAAAGATGTTTGTTTCTGATCACCAAGTAAAATTTCCCTCTTGGGAGTCTATTAGGCTGGTCTGAATTTGTAATTTCCTTGAAGCACTGTCACTTTTAATAGGTATGTGTCTTGCCAGAATATGCTCACTTCATTCTGACAGTGACAGAAAGCTTTCTAATGAAGTAGTTTGACCAGTTTCTTTCTGAAAGTCTAAAGAAAAGAAAAACTGTGTTTAAAAGGCTGCATATTATACATAATGTAGTTCATGAAATAATAAATTCAGGAATTGTCATTTTCTTTGATAGTTCTGAAAACCACTACTGATAGAGGAGCTTTACACATTTGCTTTGCCCTTTCGTCTTCATTTACCTGTCAGGATGAATAGAAGAGAGCACAAAGACAAGGAGAACGACATCCAGGATCCCATCTGGAAAAGGGTAGGGCAAGCCATCATCACACACATCATGAACAAAGGCGGAACACTGGGCTGCTCTGTAGGATGCGTGGGACTGTCGTGATAAAGGAAGAAAGAAAGAGTGGAAAAAGTAGTTAGCTCACTTCTAGTGTGTTTCCTTAAATACAGGTTTACTTTTTATTTTTCTCCAGGAGTACCTTTTCTCTGTAACTTGGAATAAACTTTATTTCTAAGCCACTATTCTCTTTAGATTCTTTCAAGCAGCCTTAAAAACTTGAGTGTGGCACCTGGACTTGAGGACAAATACTCTGGAAATGCCTCTCTAACTTTAAAAGTGAGGTAGGGCACGCTTTATGAGTCAGTAAGTGATAGCTGCTAAGGCTCTATTTTCTGCTAATTCAGAGGCTATGGATGGTCTGCAACTATTTCTCTCTTTGGCTGTTTTTGCAGTGCCTCCTTTGGCTTAAAATAATATCTCATACTGTACAACCAAAATTAGACAATGATAATAGTTACATAACTCTTTGAATACAGTAGACTTTGAAAGGGTGAACTTTATAGTTTATTAACTATATCTCAACAAAGATACTAATTTTAAAAATTGTACAGGAGTATACAAATACAACGGGCCTACAATAAAAAAAACAACTCTAGAAGGACATATGCCAAAATATTAGCAGTGATTTACACCAGGAATTATGTTGTTTTCAGTTGCTGTTGCGTTAATTCTGACTCATAACAGCTTGATATGTGCAGAGTAAAACTATTCCAGAGAGATCTCAAGGCTGTCTCCTTTTGAAAGCAGATTGTCAGGACTTCTGAGGTGCCACTGGATGGGCTTGAACCTTCAACCTTAGTTAGTAGCCTAAGCGCTTAACCATGTGTGCTACCCAGGGGCTTGTAGAAAGTGTGATGCTGTACAGGTAAATTTTATCTCTCCCTAAAGACTTTCAGCATTTTAGAAAATGTCTACAATGGATAATTATTTATCATTAGAAACTAAATTATGTGTTTACTACCTATTTTAGTAGCAGAATTTCTTTTCCTTTTGCATATCTTAAAGTTACCTCTTCACTCTAAGGTAACACTCACTGGCATTCAAAGATCTGCCAAACAAGTGCAGATCACTCTCTTCCTTATAATCTAATACATTTTAGATTTTTTTTAAATTCAAAGAATTAACCTTAGAACTTATTATATATCTGAGACTGTGTGTAAGACTACATACAAATATAAATAAGAACACTTTGTATGAAGTCCTGAAGAATATTTTTGGAGAGACAGACTAGGTACTTACAGGAAAATCTTGACTTAATTTTAACTGGCTTCTTCTAAACTTAAACAAGTTCTGCTTGCCCCATGGGCAAGTGTACCCTTTCATTTTTGTAGCCTAGAACTTTATTTGATAATTTAAATAGGCTATTGTCCTTTCTAAGTGTACCAGTTCCTTGAGATTTATTTTAAATCAAAACCAACTTCTATTGTTTATTTCAATAAGTTAGGTATCAGTTGATCTGGTTATCAGAAGTAATAAAAGTTTAGTTAAAAACGATTATAGATTTGGCCCATAAATATTTAAAAAGAGTCAATTAAACTTCAAAATCATCCAGTCTTAGCTGAGATCTCTTCGAAGAAATTACGAAGCATACCTTAACCAGTTCCACAGCTCCAGAAGCAAAATCACAACAGTAAAGGAAGGCCCCTGGAGTATTTCTATGAAAATGGAGAAAATAATTAGACCTAGAGTTCTGGGGTAGGAAGCTCTGGTGGCCTAGTGGAAAGAAGCTGTGTTGTAGTCCTGAAGGAACGTAGTTTGAATCCACCAGCTGCTCCGTGGGAGAAGGATGGGAAGTTTCCTTCTGAGCGATTAATTGCTTCTAAAAACCTGCCAAAGGGTCAACTATGGGTTGGATCTGACTCCATGGTACACAACAACAGAGTTTAGAAGCAGTTCCACCCTATGTTATATGGTTGTTGTTGTTGTGTATCACTGAGTCAGAATCACCCCATAGCTGACCCTCCAGTGGGCTTTCAGAGCAGTTAATTGCACAGGAGGAGACTGTCCATCTTTCCCTGGCAGAGCTGCTGGTGGATTCAAACAACATACCTTCAGGTTGCCAGTGCAACTCCTTACCAACTGGCCGCCAGAGTTGGGAATCAGAATTTACTTGACAGCATATTGGGTTTTTTAATTGTTGTTGTTTTTGAAGGTTATCTAAGTTCATTGTGAGAAATGAATTGAAGTATGGTTTCAAGAATGTTACCTGGTTCAGAATTGGTACTCAATAAATGTTACCCATTATCATTGTTCTTACTCTTATTAAAAGAAAATCTTTAAATGATTAGATAACTGCCACTGACTTCCAATGCTCCCTGGAAGCAAGGGTGTCCAAGTTTTACCTTATATACTTTGGTGCTCACATGCTGTTAGGAGAGGCTATTTCTTGGAAAGGGACATCAGGTTTGGAAGAGTGGAGTGTCAGCAAAAGAGTAATAGGCCCTCAACAAGACGGACTGACATAGTGACAGCAGCAATGGGATTAAGTGTGTCAGAGATGGTGAGGACAGCACAGATAGGACAGGGTTCAGATCTGTTGTTCATAGGGTCATTATGAGTTATGCTGGGCTTGGTGGCACCTAACAAAAAGTATCTTCCAGGAACTTAAGAATTAACATGATTCTAGAAAAATTACTAGAGAATTCAAAATGCCTTTCTGGATACTGTCACACGGGACATTATGAAAAGTAAGATGCATTCTGCATCTGGGTGGTAATTAGTAAACCCTCATCAGCTATAGAACTGTCTAGAAGCTAGAGGAAAGCACGTGCTGCTTGCCATGTGTCCTAACAAGGCAGCGGCATAACATCTGAGATTGAATTCTCACTGCATCAGCAGCCCAAGTTGAAGTCTTGTGACAACCCAATGCCTTTCCGGAGCTTTCTGTAGAGTCAGCTGACTACACTGGCCCTTCTCCTAGCAAACAGGTGTAAACATCACTAGAATCTACAAGCACTCTTCCGGAAGGGGGTTGAGGATGAAATGATCCTTGGAGAATGGCATGACCACTCAATTGCAGAGGTCTAATTATGGTAAACTCTTCTTAAAAGGTAAAACATTAATCCTATATTTTCCAATTTCTTAGAAGGAGGAAAACAAAACAAAACAAAAAATCAAGCTGAGACAAAACAACAGTCTAACTTGCTATTTTACAAGGCTAATCATCAGTTGTCTATTAAAGACACATTCATTATCCCAGGTTATTGAACATGGATATGAGGGAGAAATGGTATCTTGATGGCAGTCTCGTCTTGATGGCAGTGAAGAAAAAAAGAGGGAGTTAGGAGGTAAAAGCAAGCAAGTGCTAGTTGGAGGGAGAAGTAGGTAGAGAAAAATACTAGTAGCAAGTGAAGAATAAAAGATACTCATCAGTGAACATATAGTATTTTTATTGCACTGTGGTAGCCAGCCTGGAAAATCAAATGAGGGCAAGATATGGTCTTTACTTCAAGGAATATAAACACTAGCTGGAGAGGCAAGACAAAGAAATGACATGCTAGTACTTCAGGATGAGTCAGAAAGTCTTATGCTACATATAATCAACTGCCAATGAACCAAATTTATCTGTAGTATAAATTCAGAGATCTCTGTGGTCCTCAAACTGTGGTATAAGAGAAAAGGACATTTCTGCTCAGAAACTAGAAAAGGAAAAAAGAAAATTCACCAAGACTGCAAATTTACCAGCATCACTTATGTTTGGCTATTTTTAAAAGGTTATTAGATGGTATGAGGGGGCCCTTCCTATCATGATGTTACATTACAACGATGTCCTCATTTTTTGGTGTTATGTCCAAATTATTTAGGACTGAAGTGTCATTAAGTTGACTTGAAAAGATTGAAAGGAAAATACAATCAAAACAACTATGAGATATCATCTCACCCCAGTGTTTTGTTCACAATAGCAAAGAGTTGGAAACAACTAACGTGCCCATCAATAAATGAATGGATAGAGAAGCTGTGGTATATTCACACAATGGAATACTATGATGCATTGAGAAATAAGGAACTCATGAAATATTATACAGAATGTGTAACCCTGGAGGACATTAGGCTGAGCGAAATATCTCAGTCACAAAAGGACAAATATTGCATAGTAGTGCCCCTGTTGTAAAACGGGACTGACATTGGAGTTGAGGGGAGACTGAAAAAGAGGGGATAAATAATGTATACTGCATTGAAACAGATGAGGGAGAGAGCTATTTAAAAGGAACATATGATTAGGTATTATTGTCATGACAGGAGTCCAGAATGAAGGCTGCATAGTGGAGTGACTTGAGGGAGAAAGTGCAACAATGAATGAATCGCAATCCAAAGTCCAAATCCAAAATCCAAAAGAAAGGAAAATACAACTGAATTCTGCCAAGAGCTATGTTAAGATGATAGACGAATTTCCTCTCTTCCACTAGAATGTTCAAATACTTTGCAAATGTGCTTATGTCAATTTTAAATAGAAAAAGAATGTAAATGCTATGTGTAAACTTAAAAGAATAAGAATTAAATTTGACAGATAAGCCACAGGTAAAAGGTAAGGCGTTAGAGCTCTTTATCATCATAGAAAGACTGAAAAATATAGGCAAGGTGGTGAATAGAAAGAGCGGGTCAAATGTCTCTGTTCCTGGGACTGCTTTTTAGAATTTTAAGGTTAGCTTTAAGGTTATGTCCAAATGATTTCAAACCTAGATGTAATCATTTAATATTTAAAAGTTTTATTTTGGATGTTTCTCCAGAAATGATAATAAAATGAAGGTTATGGTGTAAACTTTAAAATCAGTTCTTTATATGTAAAGAGAGATACTTAAGAAACTGAGAAGAACAGACAAATCTCTAAAATGTAACAATTAACAGCTTAATAGAAGGACCAAATCTCTTGCTCTTCTTTATTCTTATCCACACAACAATAGCTTAAAAATTACTTTAACCCAGGGTGATTTTCCTCAAGAGATTATGAGAGTTGCCAAAGACAATTTTCAGAGTGAACCTCTTAATCTGCATGGTTTTGTGGGATTTTTTGGGTCAAGTGAACAGCAAACCATTTTGTGAACTACCTCAGGCTACTTGTGGGAAGAGCCTCCTGAAGTCATCTTAAATCTAAACATAGTTTAACTAGTAAAAAATGTCTTCCTTGCGCATTCTACTCTTTTAAGAACCATCTATGTGGATCATACAGACAACAGCAAATGGCAGGATTAAATAGCAACCTTAGGAGGCAATGAGTTCAAGTTAATAAGGGAGGAACAACTCAGAAAGTGAGAGTCAGAATGACTGCACAGTGTCACTAAATTGTACATGGAGAAACTGTTGACTATGTGCATGCTTTGCTGTGTAAATTCTCAACAATAATAACAAAATAAATGAGATTTAGGGAGGGAAAAGAATTCACTGGCATATAAATGACATTTTTCCAGAATTTGTTAGCATCCCATACATATGTAAAACCATGTAGGCGAAAACTCACTGCAAGATGTTCAGAATTGGAAAGACACTATTTCCAGCACCACAGCCAACCTAAAATCAAAAGAAGAAACAAATAGCAAACAAGGTTACATTTTTCTCAGCAATGTCACAGTTTCCACTAAAACAAACAAACAAACTGGAATAAGTATACCAACTCTCTTGATGGAGTAAAATTTTCTAAATTGAAGAGCAATGGAATAAATCACAAAGAATAGCACTGGGAAATCTGACTCTGGAAATACTGAAAACTTGCACAACAAAACAAAATTAAAAGGTGATTGGTACACTGATGAAAATATGTGCAATGAGTACAATAAAGGGAAGATATTAAAAACAAAATAAAAAGCGGGATAAGGGAACGAAGGAAAAAATAATACATAAAAGAAATCCAAGTAGTGTCTAAACATTTGAAGAAAGCTCTTATGACATATGCTAAATAGAAACAAAACTCCAAAATACATGTACTGGAAAGCCCAATTATATAAAATAGCATTAATAAAAGAACAAAACATCTGTAAATCCTTTGTTTATGGGATTATATATAATTTACTTTATATACTATTCAGAAACTAATCTGTAATTAATTACATCTACCATCTTTATAATAAAAAATAACAAATTTACTTTTAGAAATATAAAAGTTTGACAGACTATAGCAAGTGACATTTCTTTCTAAGTTTTATATCACCTAAAAAAAGGATTAAGAGAGACAAAGAGAGATTAAGGGCAAACCTTTGTTGGTACTTAAAACTGCCCTCAAATTAGGAATTAAAATAAGCAAATAAAAGAAAAATTAAAAACACAAGTTTAAAACTTGATCAACTGAAGATGTAAATCTCCTAAATATTTTTATTTAAATTTTTATTATATTATTTTTACATGTACCGTCAAATCAGATCTGACTGGTACAGGAGGAGATTGTTCTCTCCTTCTCCAGCAGAGCATCTGGTGGATTTGAACCGCGTACCTCTGGGATTGCAGTGCAGCATCTTGCCACTAGGACACCAGAGCTCCCTCTAAATATTTTTTTTTAATACACAAAAGTGTTTTGGACACTTCATGGTCAGTCTACTTTTAGTCATATTTATTCATGTTCCTCCTAAAAACCAGAACTATTAATAAAATAAAATGGGATGTATATTGATTTGTCAGCTCCTGTTTTGGCCTCTGCTGTACAATACCTCTAGTATTCTGAAAGTAGCATTGCTACCAGGAAAAAATTCAGTCTCCAGAAGAACTTTTCTGTGCTTTTCAGAGTCTAGGTTTGGAAAATCAGATCCTGCTTTGTTACGGTCGTGCACCAAGGCAGAATTTTTCACAGAATGGTTATTTTCTTCAGACATTGTAGAGCAGTGTGTTCTTGAGGAACAATTTTCTGCATTAGTTTGTATATGATCCCATGATAATTCACTCTCTTTCTTTGTAGTTTTTTGATCAACTGGACGAATTTCAGGAAATTCCCTCAACAGCCAATTACGATCCTTGAAAAACTTATTCTTATGAATCTTGTAAAATGTGTCCCAGTATGTACTAGCTTCAGTCTCATACTTAACTAAAAAAGAAAAGAAAAAAGAGATCTCTTTTACTCTAAATTACATTTATTATTAATTAAAATTTCAATGACAAAATATATTTAATAGTTAAATACTGCTAAATATGAAAACATACATTCTTTATCGTTGATGATAATGACATTTGCTGTTGACTAACTTCAACATTCTTACAAGCGTCAAGAAAAACTTAAAATTGTAAAAAAATAGAATGTTGTTGCTATGTGCCATCAAGTCGATTGCGACTCATAGTGACCCTATGTACAACAGCCCTAAACCCTACTCTATCCTGTGCCAATCACACTGTTTCCAATACACCCATCCGATTACCCCCGTCACTGAATCAATCCACCTCACAGAGGGTCTTCCCCTCCTGCGCTGTCCCTCCACCCTCCCAAGCATGATGTCCCTCTCCAAGGACTAGTCCCTCCTTATAACATGTCCAAAGTATGTCAGATGAAGTCTCAGAATCCTTGCCTCTAAGGAGCCACCCAGTTTAACTCTCTCCAGGATGAATCTGTTTGTTTTCTTAGCAGTCCATAGTACCCTCAATACTCTTCTCCAGCATGACAGCTCAAAGGCATCAATTCTCTCTCTATCTTTCCTAGTCATTGTCCAACTCTCTGACGCACAGCAAGTGACTGCAAAGAGCATGAAATAATTATCCTAGGTATTCAACTCAATTCCTTTGCTGCCAAGTCAGAACCAACTCATAGCTGATCTTCCAGTGGGTTGGTTTGTTGGGTTTTTTTTTGAGGATGCAAGTGACATGGGAGGAGCCTGCCCAGTTTTTTCTTAGGTGCTGGTGGTGGATTCAGACCCCAGAGAGGTATGGCCTTTGGGTTAGCAGCACAACTCCTTGCAGACTATGCCACCAGAGGTCCCCATCCCAGGCCTTAGTGAATAGAAATGAACTAGTATTGGTCATTTTGAGTTAGACAATTGTAAGAAATATTATGTTTGGAATGAGAAACTGAAGAGAAATGGCTTTGCATTGATCTATTCTACAGTATAATACTGTCACAGGTGAGACACCGAAAAAGAAGATGACACAGATGATTCCTATCAACTTCTGAAGTCTGAAATTGATCAAACATGCAATTAAGATGCACAATAATTACGGTGATTTGATTGCTAGAGTTAGAAACAAAGAAGGCTCAATAGTTGGAAAATACAGTGTTAGTGATAGAAAGGATACTGGAGATTACAAGATAGAAATGTCAAGGTAAAAAACTCACTCTCAGAAATATCTTTTTTTAATAACATAAATCAAAACTATACCCATGGACACTGCTGGATGAAATACACTAGAATCTGGCTGGTTACATCTGTGGTAAGAAACTATAGAAAAGCTCAAAATCATTAGTTAGAACAAAGTCAGGGGACTGTGGAACAGATGATTGATCACCCATATGCAAGTCCAAGCTGAAGCTGAAGAAAATGAAAATAAGTCCACAAGAGTCAAAGTATGTCCTAGAGTTATTCACTAGAATTTAGTGACCATCTCTAGAATAATTCAGGTGTACTAAGCATGACTAGTCAAGACCAGAGGAGTTTTAAGATGGCATCAAGGATATCTTACATGTAAGAAAACAAACAGTAATTAAAAAGAAAAGAAGGAAAGAAAGAAGGAAGAAATGAAGGGAGTAAGGAAAGAGGGAGAGAGGGAGGGAGGGAGGAGGAGGGAAGGAATAAAAGGTGAGAGGGAGGAAGGGAGGGATGAAGGAAGGAAGGAAAGACCAAAATGGATGTCACAATAGACTCTGAACTATGTTCTTAGATGCAGAACAGAAAAAGTGAATAAAATGTATAGAATGGGAGTTAGAAAACAAAAAAGGGAAAAAGATGCTTAGTATTTCTCAAGCTGAAAGAACCAAAGAAAAAAAATTCAAGCACAGAGTTACAATACTGAAGGATTCTGTAGGCTAACACACTGAAAACCACAGGAACAATCATAAGACAGAAAGAGTAAGACAAGCAAAGCAAGACAGAAGGAATACAGAGTCACTGTACAATCAAAAATTAGTGAGCATTCTATAAATTTCAGGAGGTTGCATATAATCAAGACGCAATGATACTGAAGGAAGAAGTAACTGCAATAAAGCTTTCACTAGTATTCTAAGAGGTGCCGTGGCACCAAATCAAGACACTCTAACAAACTAACAGTGGAAGGGCTCACTCATCTATTCTAAGAAATCTGGAAGACACCTACTTGGCCAACCAACTTATTTGTACCTTCTCTAAAAGAAAGGTGATTCAATGTAATATGGAAACATAATTAACATTATATGCAAATTAAATTTTTCTGAAGTCAATGTCAAAGTGATCACAAAAGCATATTATCATGAATTAATAATTCTAGCTGGATTAAAAGAGGTGTGGAACACAGAATATCCTTGCTGATGTCAGATGAATATATAGTTAAAAGAAGAGAATAAGAATGATGTTTATCCGTGTTTTATTAACTAAGTAAAGGCATTAGATTGTGTGGATCCTAACAAATTATAGATAACACTGTGAAGGAGAGGAATTTCCAAACACTGAAATGTGTACATTTAGAACCTATACAGAGACCACTCAACTTTAAACTCATTGCTGTGGAGTCAGGACCAGTGCACAGCTGATCTTTCAGGAGGTTCCCAAGGCTATAAATTATACAGGAAGAGACTGTCCATCTTTCTCCCAAGAGAAAGTGGATTCAAACAGCCAGGAGCTGGTTAGCAGTCGAACTGCCTATAGACTACATCATCAGAGTTCCCTACATATAGACCAAGAGACAATTATTTAAACAGAACAAGGGGGTACTAAATAGTCTAAAAAAAGAAAATGTATACAGAACAAGCAATCCAATAAACTGGACTAGCTCTAGTGGCCTTAGTGGCAAGAAGCTGCACTGAAATCCCAAAGGCACGTGGTTCAAGGCCACCAACTGCTCCACAGGAGAAGGATGAGCAATCTCCTCCCATGCAATTAACTGCCTCTGAAAACCCACTGGAGGGTCAGCTACAGGTCGATGGTATAAAACAACAACATATGAAGAAGAATTCTATATCAGGATTGGAGAAAAAGAGTCATTAACAACTTGTAATAATACATAGTTGATACAATCTTGCTTGCTAAAAGACAAGGAGGAACTAGAACCACTTGCTGATGAAAATCAAAGACTACAGCCTTACTATGGATTACACCTCACTTTAAAAAGAGAAAAAAACCTTCACAAATGGACTAATAAGCAATGTTATGATAGGTTGTCAAAGATTTAATATTATTTGGATCCACAATCAACACCTATTAAAAAGAAAGTATCAAGGACATATTGCCTGGTGCAAATCTGCTACAAAAGTATTAAAGTGTTAAAAAGCAAAGATGTCATTTGGAGGTCTAGGGTGAGCCTGACACAAGCTATGGTGTTTTCAATAGTCACATATATCCCTCCCACCACCCCATCACCTTCAAAGGACAGCACTAACTCAGTCCCCCACTAGTACCAGTGATGCAGTGGAGCTTCGCACATTTGGGGAAACTGCAAGGATCAGCACATCCAGAATGAATAAGGCTCACCCTGGGAATATCACCTGCATGACCAAGGTATCTCCCCTCCCAGGTAAGTACAGCCACATATATTTTTAAGGAGCTCTGGTACCATAGTTCATAGTAAGTTGCACTGCTAACCCAAATGTCCAGTGTTTCAAAGCCACCAGTGGTTTCTTGAGAAAGGGATGTGCAATCTCCTTCCTTTGCAATTTACAATCTTAGAAACCCAATGGAAGGTCTCTATTATTGGAACCAACCTCATAGTAGCAAATTTGAGTTTTGAGTCATACATAAGTAAAGGAAGACCAAAGGAGAACTGATGTATTTGAATTATGGCATTGGTGAAAAATAATGATAAGATATATGGACTGATAGAAGAACAAACAAATCTGTTCTGGAAGAAGTACTGCCAGATTGCTCCTTGGAAGAAAGATTAGTGAGACTTCATTTCATAATATTTTGTTGTTGTGTACCACTGAATTGGAAGGGACTCATAACTGACCCACCAGCAGGTTTTCAGAAGCAGTAAATCAAATTGCATGGGAGGTGACTGTCCATCCTTGTCCCGTGGAGAAACCAGGGAATCTGAACTGCACGCCTTGGAAATGACAGTGCAGTTTCTTACTAGTAGGCCAACCAGAGCTCCCTTCATCTGACAAGACTCTGGACATATTATCAAGAATGGTCAGTCAGTCTCTGCAAAAACTACATTATACTTAGCACAGGAAAGGTTCAGCAAAAAAGAGAAAGACTCTTAAAGACACAGACTGACGTACAGTGGCTACAACAGTGGGAACCAACGTAGCAAATAAGTATTGTGGGAAGGGCCTAGGACCAGGAAACATTCTGTCCAGTTATACACAGTCACTATGAGACGGAACTGACTTGGCAGCTCCTGTCAAAAGTGTTATTATAATAACTTTCACTTATTTACCTCCTAAGTGTTAAAATTACTCAATTTTCTGCTCTTTCAAAATGTAGTCTCACTCCCAGAAATCTGCTTTTGTTTTAAAAGTTTGGCAAATACATTTTTGTGGGAATATAATCTATGCAAACTACTTCCTAGTATAGTCTTGGAATCTTAATAATCACAATCTTAATTAATAACCTGTAGGTTTCCTGTCTTAGAGAAAGGACACACTCAGAATCAGAAGTACCTCTCCTAACTTCAGAAGGTTAAGGGTCATCTCATAAATTCATTCTTCCTCTCACCTCTAGAGAGAGAACTTCTCTAGTGATAGCTTCCAACATGAAGTCTTAAAGAGAATTCTGGATGTCTTCTTAATAAACATGTGCATTCTGTGATGTCATCCTTTAAATCTCCCTGGATCTCAGATCAGGATTAGCACAATAATCTCAGGTGTTCAGGTACTTCTCATTTTACTGTCTCTTTTTATTGGTACCTTAAATTCATAAGGTAGTTAATTCATCTACTCATTCAACTCTAGGGACCAGCATCCAGGAAATT